ATATATATATATATATATATATATATATATATATATATATATTATATATGTATATATATTATATATATATATATATATATATCATCATGATGTAAATAATTACCACCTATGTACTTCAGGAAAGTGCTACAGTCTACACTTTATATCTCACCATCCCACAAGTCATACTTATGTTCAGAGTCTGTAAATAGTTTTTCTTTAACGCTTATAATTTTGCAGGACGAATCTTCATGACCGGATAACGCGTTGTACATAGTGGCTGCAACTCGAAGTGATAATGGGTGACGTTCTAGATGTGTCTAGTTTAGAAGGGGGACTATTGTCCTGCTATGATCTAGAGAATGCCGCTGTTTCTGAAACACGGCTGTGGCGCAATTTTCTTGCCATGGTGTTCTTCTCAGTCCTTTGTGCGGTATGTCAACAGAGAGGTACTTAAGGCGTGATTGAAAGTGTGTTTTCTATGTCGTGGACGAAGTCTAAAGCTTACAGATGATTATAGGCCGATATCTAGCTCAGTCCGGAGTAGGTATATATGGACGGTGAAGCTTCGCTAGTTGATTGGTATATCTGACTGTGCACCTGTGCAAGTGGACATACTATAGATGTATTGTATCCTTTGCATTTCTGTTCGCGAAAAGATTCGCGTGTCTCTTCGTTGGGACGATGTTGGGGTTCTCTCGGATCTCTGTAGGTAAACTTCATCATGACAAGAATTTTCCGTATCTGGAACAATATGCTATGAACTAATATGCAGGCGAACTGTGCCTGGTTGCAGACTGCAAATGATGGATCTGAAATAAAAGGATGCTTTTACTTTAGCATTGTTTTCATGTACTTGCTTCAAGTATTATGTAAGTGTCACTTTTGTATGAACAGGTGAACAAAACTGTATGAACCGGTATATAAGGCCATTCGATACTAAAATGTTAACTTGCGGTTAATCTATTGAATCTTATTGTTAGTTGAAAGAAAAACATACACACGCAGTGAAATATATATATATATATACATAATATATATACGTTTATAGATTAA